ATACAATATTTACACATATAGGTTATATTTATTTCACTCATGAGTATAGCCTCTAATTGCATCCACCTACATATAAAGGCTTGGAGTTTGTATTTCTTTATAAGTGAGTATTGCTCATGGTATTGTAGGATACCATGACATTTTCATCTATTGCTCAGGTGATCAGCATTTTGCTTGTTTCCAAGATTTGGCTATAACAAATTGCAGTGCTATATACATGGGTACACACATACCACTGTTCTATGATATTTTCAGTTGTTTTGAGGAAATATCCAGAAGGGGAATAACTGGATTGAATGTGATTTCCAGTCTAGGTTTTTGAGGAGTCTCCACACTGATTTCCAAAAGGGTTGTGCCAGTGCATATTCCCACCAACAGTGGAGAAGTGTTTCTTTTTCTCCACAGCCTTTCCAACATTTATTATTAGTTAAATTTTTATGACATTCTTTCGGGGGTGAGATTGTATCTAAAAGTTTTTTTCATTTTCAAATGACCAATGCTGTGGAACATTGTTTCATGTATTTCTTTGCCATCTATATACCTTCCTCTGAGATGTGTGTATTTATCTCAGAAGCCCAGATTTTGAGGGCCATTTTTTTCATATATTGTAAAAAGAAGACCTCTGTCTGAACATTTGTTGGTTAAAATTTCTTCCAATTTTGTGGGTTCTCTTTTCACTCTGTTGGTGATTTCATTTCACATGCAGAAATTTCTGAGTAAGATGAGACTCCAGATGTTGATTCTTTGAAATATTTTCCATGCAGTTTGGCTTTTATTCAGGAGACAAACTCTCTACCTACCCCTATGTTTCCAAGATTTCCACCTACTTTTTCTTCTAGGAGATTTAATGTTTCTGTTTTAATGTTTATATTTTTAATCAACTGTTACTTTAGTTTTGTGCATGGTAATAGACCCAGGTCTAGTTTTAGTTCTTGGCGTGTGGAGAGCCATTTTTACTAGCAAAATTTGTGAAAGAAGATTTCTTTCTTCCAGTGAACATGTTTGATTCCTTTTGTCAAAGATAAGATTGCTTAGTGAGCTTGTAGTTGTGTTTGCATCTTTTAATCTGTTCCACTTATCCATGAGGTTCTCTTTTTTTGCCACTATCATGCTGATTTCATCACAGTAATTTTGTAGTATAAATTCTATTTTTATGTATTTAATACAGGGTCTAGAGGGTCTCACTACACAGATCAGACTTGTAACTTGTAGTGATCCTCCTGTTTTCAGCCCCCCAAATGCTGAGATTACAGGCGTGAACCACCACACCCAATTTCAATTGCAGTCTCAGAGCTCCCAGGGTGGGTCTGCCATGGCATGCAGTAGATCAAACCCCTGCTAGTAATTTTCTTTTTTTAAATTTTAGGATCTTCTTTGTGAAGGTTTTTTTCTTGTCTTCCAAGTAGAGCATCAAGTCATTTTCAAATAATGATAGTTTGTCTCAGATTTAGCTATTCTTATTCATTTTATTTCTGTCATCTAATGGTTCTAGATAATTGCACAGCTATATTGAGTAGTAATGGTCAAAGAGCACATCCTTGCCTTATGGCTGATTTGAGAGCAAAAGCTTTCCTTTATTTTTCCATTTAGAATTATAATGGCTACTGGTTTTCATAGATGGCTTTTTATCAGATTGAGGTACAGGACATCTATTCCAATTTTGTGTACAGCTTTGATCATGAATGATTGTTGGACTTTGTCAAAAGTATCTTCCAGATTTATTGAGATAATCATGTGATTTTTGGTTTTGGCTCTATTGATATGGTGTATTCCATCTGTAGATTCACATATGTTGAACCATGCTTGCATCTCTGGGATAAAACCTACCTGGACATGGTGCGTAATCTTCTGATGATTTCCTGTATTTTATTTGCTAGTGATTTATAAAGTGTTTTTGCATCTTTGTTCATGAGGGAGACTGGTCTGTAATTCTCTTTTTGGATTGAATCTTCCTTTGGTTTTGGTATCAGTATAATACTTGCCTTTAGGAATGTTTTTTGGATTATTGCTTCCTCTTCCATCCACTAAAGTGTTTCATTTGTGTTACTCAAAGTTTTCATATCAGTTTTGATAATTTGTACCTATCTAGGAATCTCTCCATTTCTTCTATGTCTTCAGTTCTGTGAAAGCAAAGATTTCAAGACAGCTGTTGATGATGTTTTGAATTTCCACAGCATCTCTAGTAATTTCACATTTTTTTGTTCCTTATTGCTTGGATTTGAAATTTCTCTTTCCTTTTTTTTAATGAGGTTTGCTAGGGGTTCATCACTTTTATTTAATCTTTCAAAGAACCAGCTTTTTTATTCAGTAATTCTTTGTATTTACTTAGTCAACTTTAGGCTTGGTTTGCTACCTTTTTCTAAAAGCTAAAGGTGCAACATTATGATATTCATTTGTTCTCATTCTGCTTTCCTAATGTGTGAGCTCACTTCCATGAATTTCCCCCTGAGAACTCCTTGCAGTGCGTCCCGCAAATTCTGGTAGGTTGTGTATGGATTTTCATTGGACTGTAGATGCTGTTTAATTTCTCACTTAATTTCATCTCTAACCTGTTAATTGCTAAGGAGGGTTTTATTTAATTTCCACGTTTACAGGATTTTTGTGATTTATTGTTAATTTCCAGTTCCATTCCATTTTAGTAAGATGATATGCATAGGATAATTTCTGGTTTCTTACATTTACTAAAGCATCTTCTATGGATTACTATATGATCTCTTTTAGAGAATGTTCCCTGTTCAGCTGAAAAGAAAGTGTATTCAGATATTCTTTGATGGAACACTCTGTATAGGTCTACTAAGTCCTTTCATTCAAAGGTTTGGATCAGTTCTGCTACCTCTTTCTAATTTTTATCCACTAGACCTATCCTTTTGAGATAACCTGGTGTTAAGGTCCCCATTAAGATTGTGAAATTGATTATTAGATTTTTCATGTCCATTAAGATTTGTCTTATATAGTTGGGTGCTCCTGTATTTGGTGCATACATATTGATGACTATTATTCTCTTCCTCTTGAATTTTTTTTCTCTAACCAGTATGCAGTGACCTTGTTTATCTCATTTAATTATTAGTGGTTTGAAGTTCAGATTGTCTGATAAAAGGATAGATATCCAAAATTTTTCTCAGCTCCTAGAACATATACTATTGTTTTCCATCTTTTAGCTTTTAGTCTACAAAAGGTTTTTTTGGGGGGGTAAATATGTTTCTTATATTCAGCATATTGGAGTTTGTTTCTTCTAGTATTCTTTTTATTTATTTTTTTTCTTTTTTGGTTCCTGGGGTTGAACTCAGGACCTTGCACTTGCCAGACAGGCGTTTATGATGTTGAGCTATATCCCCATCCCTTGATTTTGTTTTTCAATCCATTCTGCCAATCTCTTTTGTTTAATTGGTGAATTAAGTCAATTTATATTTGTGGTTATTATTGATATATACAACCTTATATTTTTCATGCTAATTTCCTGTTGTTAGCTCCCTATTTTTGACCTGTGCTTAACTATTTTCCCTATTTGGTGGGTTCTTTCTGTTGTCATTCTTGTAATTCTGGGCATTTGATCCCTTGCTAGCATATATTTTAGTACTGTGTGTAGGGTTGGTTTGGTTGTCATAAATTTCTTTAATTTTTCTTTGTCATTGAAGTATTTTATTTCTCTATTAAACTTGAAGTTGAGTTTTTCAGGGAATATCAATGTGTTTGGAATTTGCTTCAGTGTAGGACTTGCAATGGTTTGTGTTCATGGTTTTTGTTGAGAAATCCGCTATTATTGTGACAAGTTTTTCCTTTAAGTATGGTACGTTTCTTTTCTCCAGTGATTTTTATTTATTTATTTTTATTTTTTAAAGAGTACATATTAGAATAAAAACAGCAAAAGTTGCAAGTGATGTAGTATTATACTTAACAAAGTAATGTCAGTTTGACACTATTTGTTGTAATACATAGTATTGTCTTCCAACAAGTTCTTGATTTTGCTGGATGTATGTATATAAAATTGGAAGAAGAAAGAAAAAGAGCAGAAATGTGTGAAAGATTAAGAAGAAAAAAAGCACAAACAGTTGAAATAAAGGAGACAAGACCAATTAAGTAATATCTGCTCCTTTCCATAGACCAGTAGAAATGTGCACTACCATTATCCAAACCATTCTGCTTGCAAACATAGGTGAATCTCTTTCCCCCACAAACCCTAGTGTCTGTTGTATGTTATGAGTCAGTGCAGGAAGAAATGGTGGGATGAGCCAATGAATATAGCTTCAAACTTCTCACTGAGATTAGTCTCTCTCTAATTGATTCCACAGCCACAGAAGCATCTCACACTAATTGAGTGCTAAATGCAGGCTAAAGAATGTGCATAACTACTTTGTGGAACACAAACTACCTTCTCTATTGACATCCACCATTTACACTAAGTTTACACAATGGTAGCTAATAACATCCCAAGCAAGGGATCAGAGAAAAGACAGAGAGCCATCAAGAGAAGCTGTTATCTGCAGCCTTGAATCCCAGCTTGCCCAAATTTACAAGTGAGAAACAACGGTCCTTTGTGTAGTCTTCCTTGCTCCCTTGGGACACTAGGCTTTTGTTTCAGGTCTATATTTCTATACCTGTCCTTCCCCTGCGCACAGTGACACTTTCCTCAAAAGGAAATATTCATAAGTAAGACCAAATTAAAAAATAAGTTCATCCAGTTTTCCCAGTATCTATTGTACTCTTCAGATTGTATTTTCTTTTTCAGATTCTCACACTAAGGAGACAATACGATGTTTGCTCTGATTTATTTCACTTGAGAGTATGTTCTGTAGGGGCATGCATTTACTGACAAAAGACTCAAACTTATCCTACTTTATAGGTGAATAATACTCCATTGTATAAAGTTTCAACATTTTCATTATCCATTATTCAGTTGATGTGCAACTGGGTTGTTTCCAGGAAGGAGCATATACATTTATAATCATTATCTCATTCTCTTGTAGTGTTTCCTTAAGAAATATGAAGAGACCTTTTTTTACTCTTTGGATGATTTTTGGCTTGAAGTGGATAATGTTCCAACCAGGATAGCTACCCCTGCTTTTTCTGATTTTCTGTGTGATAGAGAATTGTTTACTATCCTTTGACTGTTAGTCTGTGAATTACCTTTTGAGTTAATGTATGTGTTATAGGTGGCATATTGTTGGATTTTGTTTATTAATCTACTTTGTTAGTCTGTTTCTTTTGATTAGTGAATTAAGGCCATTCACATTGATAATTATAACAGACATGTATTGGTCTCTCTTTGTCATGTTCTTTTCCTTCTGTAGGTTCCATATTTTTCCCCTCTTTTCAACTACTTGCTCTGTTTTTTGGTCCTTTGTGTTGTTCTTCAAACTGTGGTCACTTCTGTACCTTTCAGGAATACTTGCCAGTATGCTTTGTAGGGTTGATTTGGTGGTCATGAATTTCTTCTATTGTTCTTTGTCATAAAAAGATCATATTTCATCATTGAATTTGATAGTTGTGCGGGGTACATCGATCTGGGTTGGAAGTTATTATTTTTTCAGGACCTGAAATACTTCACTCCAAGCTCTTCTTGATTTGAGAAATTTGCTGTGATTCTGATGGATTTTCCATTATAGGTGATGTCTTTGTTCTCTTTTGCAATTTTTAATATTATGTTATTTGCTGAATTTATGAGATCGTGATTAGTATGTGTCTACATGTAGATTTACTATAATTTTGTCTGTGTGTAGTTCTATATACCTTGCTTACATGTCTGTCAGGTTCTCTTCTCATGTTTGGAAAATTTTCTGTTATACTTCTGCAAATAGTCTTCTTATGTCATTTGTGCTATGTCCTGCTACTTCATTAACACTTACTATTCTTATATCTTTTTTTGCATTGTCTTATAGCTGATAAATTTTTATTTCCTGGATCCCTGTTAGTTTTATGACACCTTTCTTTCATATTCATGAGCTACACCACTGTCTTCAAGGTCTGAAAGTCTGTTTTTGGTTTCATTCAAGAGGTTTTGCCAACTTTCAATGGAATTTTTAATTTCTCAGATATCTGTTTCAATGTGTTTCATGAATTCTAATACTCTTTTGTATTTTTCATTCAGTCAGTGTGTCCATTTTTTTTTTTTTTTTTTTTTTTTAGTGAAACCAAGGATCAGACTCAGGGCCTTGTATTTGTCATGCAAGTACTTATTACACGGAGCTATCTCCCCTGCCCCCTCCATCATTTTTCAGTTCTCCTGTATTTTTCTTTTATCTCTTCTTTAGCTGTGTTGAGCCATTCTTCCATGATTGTTGTTATTTCTTTTGGGACCTAAGAGATTATTTTTCATCCTATTTCTTTTATGCTCTGAAGGACTTTATTTTTACTTCAGTTGCCATCATTCATTTAAGAGACTTAAGGTTTGTGATTTCCAAGTTCTTCTATGTCTTTCCATCTTCGATTTGTTCTTGGTGAGCTAGAGGAATGACATGGCCTTTTGCTCCTGCATTTTGGCAATTTTGAAGCTCCCATTATTCAACCAGAGTCCCAGAGTGTGCCCAGAGTACTTTTAAGTTCTTAAAAGATTGGACCAGTGCTAGCAGAACCTCCAAACCTGTACACCGGTAACTAAGGAAGATCAGAGTTTACCAGAGTCCTGCATGCTGCCCAGAGTCTGCCAAAGTTCTTAAATGGTCTCTAGCAGCTTTTAGAATGTTGTTCTTATGCTGAATTTTTTTTGAATCATGATTATTGTAGGCTTGGGTGTAGTTTTAATTGGGTTGGATTGATTTTATTTGGAGATCTATATGCCTTGATTATCTGAATGTTAGATGGTTTTCCCAATAAGGAAGTTTTCTTCTGTTACATCTGCCCAGAGGCTTTAAGTTCTTTTGGATAACTCCTTCTTTCTAATTGATGCCTATCAGTCTTATGTGGTTCATCTTGGCAATAGCTTGCAGCTGTTGAGTTATTATTTCCTTGATCTTTATCATTTTTATCAGTTTTTCCTTTTAGATCACTTGCAGCAATGTTGTCTTCAGGAATGAAAGTCTATCTTCACTTTCATTTAAATAGGTTTTTCTAGCCTATAATGAAGCTTTTAAATTTTCTATATAGATCTTAAAATCTGCTTTTTTTATCAGTGTATTCTTCTGAAATGCATAGTAATTATTTCATTTTATTTATCACTTCTTTTTTACCTGGGGGATTAATTCTGTTCTGATTTCCTCTATGCTCTTTTGCAATTGTTTGCTTCACTTGCTACTATTTTAGAGATTTCTAGTGTGTGGCTTCCAGTTTGTTCTATGCTGTTATCTCCTGGCATTGTTCTCTGTGGGCTTGGGGCCTGAGGTTGCATTTTGTTCCTTCTTTTATCTTTTTCTATTTTTCAGAGAACTCCTTATGTTGACTTCTGTGATACATTCTGTAAAAGTTTGATAGTATGTAGCAGCATCACTGCAATAAGAATCTCTCTGTAAAGGATCTATTTCTCCTGTGTCAGACATCCTTGTTCTGTTGGTGTCCTAAGAAGTTGTCCTCTCTATTGATTAAGAGTCACATACTGGTTTCCATTTGGCAGTGTTCTCTGTCTTTAAGTATAAGGCTTTTGTGAGGTTATTATCCAGTGGCATCTCAATATTATAAGGCAAGGAAGAACATGTGGTTAAGGCAGATATGGTATCCCTTTTACAGTAGTAAAATTAGTGATGCTAATAACAGTCAAATTTAGAAATTGATAATCTTTTGTAACTAATGGGTATTTAGATTAGCCCACAGGAGTAGACATTATTGCTATAAAAAAAAGCAGATTGTAAATCAGAACTTTGTACTTAAGTTAGTTTCCCTGATATCTGTCTGTACACTTCCCCTTCACGTATGTGGAATCTTCCAGGCAGACTCATGAACTCCAGTTGCTTACTGCCACCTTCGAGCTTACAGGATCCTCACTGTAGGTGTGGGCCTTGGCCTGGGCATGTCTGAGCTAGCAGTATTCTTCAGCTCACCAGATATATTTCTATAAAACTCAAACTTGACCAGTCAGCCCTGGCTTGTGATTGGCTGCTGTGCTCTGCTCCTTCCAGCTGCATCCAGCAGATGAGGACCAGCTCAAGACCTCCATCTTCAGATGATTCAAATTAAATCATTTGATAAGTTTTAAGTGATAACATTTAAGAGTCACAACGTGACATGATCAGTCTTCACAAAACTCAAGACCTTATAGAATTCCTTCAGTCATGGGAATTCAGATGTAGTTATGGGGCAGGGAGAAAAAGTAGGTGCGGCTGGGAAGTTAGTTTCCAGGAGGAGTTTTATAACTGATCCCAGTCACAGAATTTCTCTCTGGTCTTAAGAAAATAATGTAGCACTTGGGGACAAAGATGCAGCCCAGCAACCCTGCGCTTGAAGCCAAGATAGCAAAGACCTCCATGGCCACCAAGACTTTCCCCTTGTTGCTGTGGTATACAGGCAGGAATGTGATCCATACGCTGCAGCTGAACGTCAGGAACTTGGCTTCATTGAAGGTGTCAGGCAGATTCCTTGCCAGGAAAGCCACAGTGAAGCTCACCAGGGCCAGGGAGCCCAGGTATCCCAAGACACAATAGAAGGCAGTGAGGGAGCCCTTGTTGCACATGATGATGATGTGGCCATGCTCAGAGTGAGCATCTGTGTCAATGTAGGGTGGATTTGTCCCCATCCAGATTCCACAAAGAGTGAGTTGAATCAGAGAAGAATGGGATGATATGATTTGGTGCCCCTGACACCAACAACTGCCTCATCCTCCTGCCTGGAGCAGTGGCCTTAAAGGCCAGCACCACAGTAGCGGTTTTGGCTAAGACAGTGGAAACAGCCACAGTGAATACAAGTCCAAATGTGGTCTGCTCCAGGATGCAGGTGGCTGTGTTGGGCTGGCCAGTGAAGAGCAAGGAGCAGAAGAAACAGCAGGTGAGAGAAGAGCAGGGTGTAGCTGAGAGCCCTGTTGCTAGCCTTGACAATGGGAGTGTCTCGGTGCTTCACAAAGAGCCGAAGAACAACAGCTGTGAGTAGCGTGAGACTCAGGGCAGTGCAAGCCAGAGCTTTGCCCAAAGGACTGTCATAGGCCAGAAAATTCACAGCCTTTTGCAGGCAATGATTTCTCTGAGTATTCACATATTGATGTTGTGAACACTTCACACAGTGCTCCATATCTAGCAAAAATTAAATTTGTTATTTTTCTCAAGTTTAATATTATTTATTTTTACAGACCCACCTCCGTCACCCTTGGATTTGAATTAAGTTTTCATTTTAAAGACTTCTTTTCTTTCTCTTTCTTTTTCAATACGTGTTATTAAACTCAGAAAGTTTGCAGTATTATATATTCTCAACCCTTTAAAATTGTGCTCTTTTGAGTAAGGATTTCCTGAAATCATGTTACCTAGGCTTTGTTCTGCCTTATAATCTTTCACCTCAGCCTACCTGAACTCTGAACTCCAGGTATGCATTGCCATTCCTCATTTTTTTAGTTCTCTCTAAACACAAAGTAAAAGATGTGCATCTATGGAGATTAATTCTTAAGTAAGATTATTCTTTTAAATCCGGCATATCTATAAAATCATTCTGTTTTTAACGGAACTTAACAAAAAAAGGGTATACAGATGAATGTTCATTTTGTATCTGTGTATTCAAAGTGGTTAATATAGATATATAGTTACATTCTCTTGTATGAATATAGGGATTTGTTCTAATGGTGTTTGTAAATAGGATATCATGTCCGCATTTTTACAGCAATTAATCACTAGGAAGAATGTATGCAGTGTGTTAATTATTGAAAGTGTCCTACCAATTTGATTTGAAACTGTCTCATTGCTATTTGTTTCTCAATAAAATTATGGGAAAAATCATTCTGTCTTTACAAAGTAATAAAGGATCTACTTTAGTGAAGTGAAACATTTTTTGCTTCACTCATTGGATCCAAACAATATTTATGATTCTCCAGATAATGAAAAATCAACATAATTTGCTAATTCCTAGGAAAATACATATACAAAATCACACTGAATGTCAAGTAATTATATTTTTAAGACTCTCCACCTATCAGTGTGCTTTATGCAACCACTTACTTAATTTTTATTGTCAAATGGGTATTTTAAGAATGTAATTCTTGTGCCTTTCAAAACCATTGCAGGATATATTACTACATACTTAATGATTTTGAAATGTGGTAAAAATCAAATTTTGAAGTTGTATCTAGGAGTGCCCCATGACCCAGGTATGAAAATGAGATTTTGCTTGTTTGTAACAATCTTGTATTATATAACCAGGAAATTAAAGTATCCATTTATTCATTAACATGGATTTTATGCTTATAAACTTACATTATTGGAAAATGCTATCATTCATGTTCCTCCCTCTCTAATATATTTTTGTGGCTTTTTTTTTTCTTTCATTGCACTGACCATGCTGTAGAGTGTCATGTCTGCCAGAAGTGTGATACAAATATATCTTATTCTTGCTTTCAAAAATAGTGAAGTGTGCTATAAGATATAATAAATACAATATTTAAAGGGCAGTTCAGGGGGGCCAGGGAGATGGCTCCGTGGAATAAGCACTTCCCTGACAAGCTCAAGATCCTGAGTTCAATCCCTGGTTCTGCAAAAAAAAAGGGGGGGGCAGTTCAAAGCTATCATGTTACTTCTTATGTGATGAATGATATCTCCTTATTGTTTCTTTGTAAAATCACAGAGTTGTGCAATGTTATTTTGTTGTCTTCATTTTTAGCCTTCTTTTTCCTTTCCAGGATTTACTGGATTTAATTATAGGCTATAAATGACCCTGAAACACATATCTGAATCAGAAATAGAAAATGTGAATTTAGTTTGCAAAGAAAAGTGCAAAGTGTACTTCGTTTCTCCTAAGTACATTTTTAGCTACCGGTAATAGTCTTAATTCCTGCCTTAAATGAATTGATTTTCCACCTTTTGTTTCCTAGGAAAGAATTCAATAGCAAAAGATTTTTGAATGCTTATAAATTTCACTGCTAATATTAATCACCAAATTTTAGAGTGAAATATTACACAATGGGCTCCCATCTACTAATAGAGATGGTGGTGTAGAGATAGTAATACTATGGAGATTTTTATTTTTTGTTAAGCCTATTTTGCTAAATTTTCCTGTGATTTTGTGGATTTCTAGGTGTAGATTGATGTGAAATTCCTTATACTTTCATACGGAGATTTTCTGCATAACTATACTAGTGGACATATTTCTCCTGACCTTATAATAGCTTTGAATATTTCTTTCATCTTGATTAATGGTACTCAGTCATCAGATTTTTTTTCACCAGAATCCCATTTTATTGTGTTTACTTTTCTGTCTCGATTTCTTAACAATTCCTTTTGTACTGTATCCCAGCTTTCATTTTTCTTGTGTTTTACTTCCTCTACATTTCTTACTACGTTTTATAAACACTTCAAATGTAGAATTTCACATTTTTTGTATAAACAGAAAACAGCACAAAAGTATATGTAACACAGAATTCATACTTGTGCCACTATTGTTTTAGCTTTAACACGCAAGATTTTCAATTGCATGCAATCATAAGTTTACACTTTGATTGATTCTATACACTACTTATGGTTGAGAATTATACAACCAAATTCATATATGCATGATAGCATGTGCTGCATTGTTCGCTATGTGAACACACACAATGTTTTAAAAGGCCGCATTACCATGATTTATGGAGAATACATATGTATTTCAGAGAACATTTGAAATCATACTAATTAGGTTTTGAATTCAAAACTTACATCAGGTTTCAAAACAAAATAGAAAATATTCAGTAAGGAGATGGTTCCACCATGTCCTAATTTATAAAATGTTATTTTGCTAAATTGATACTTATGGTATACAACAATCTTCAACACTAGATTTCTGTAAATTCTATGGAATTTGTTTCAGTCCTCTCCCTCATTTATTTGTGTTTTAATAACATGGTATTTTTCTTTACAATACTTGAATGTTCCATGAGTGGGGAATGTGCCATTTTGGCTATTTATAAGAATCCTGAAAGGATTTATATTCCCTTTTCATTCTGATTTAATACCAATGCTATCACTTCTATAAAATGCCATTAATGCCCAAATAAAATGTAGATATTATTACTTGTTAAATTTCTTATTCACTATGCATATTAGCCTTGTAGCTCTGTGGAAAAGATGCTATTTCATGCCATCGGCATTTTTTCTATGCATTCTAGAATAACAGGAATTAAATCCTAGGAATTAGATTGTGTTGTGCTGTAAGCAGGTTGTAAATCAAAAACATGCTCCTATCAGCAATAAATAAATTCAGTCTATCTGAGCACCTGCTCAGTGTGATGAAAAACATCAGCCCCTGGAAAATGAAGTGTGCGTGACCTTGTCTTGACTGTAATCTTGCTGTAATTCTAAACATTGTAAACAATTTTTATTAACCTTACTGCCTGTTAAACTTCATAATGGAGATGAAACTTGGAAGCTGTGGGGCAGAAGAAAGGGAAGCCTTGAGGAAATAATGCTTTTAATGGGACTAAAAAACAAATCAGTGAAATCAGATGTGGTGGTGCATAACTGTTTTCATAGAGACATAAAGGGCTGAGACATGTCGATTGATTTTTTGAGGCATTCTTGGGAAAATTGATGATATTGTGTTTAAAAATGAAAAAAATAAGATGGCGGGAAATAGATCATTTATGGATCACACTTTGGTTCAATCCTTAGCAATGTAGAAAACAAGAATGGCATAAAAAAGTAGAGTGCATTTCAAAAGGGAAAATATGATTTCCAACAGGCAATAGCACTCAATGTAACAACTAATTTGACCACTGAAGGAAGAGTTTTGACCTTTAGTGTCCTCTATGCACTGTTACCATTTCCTGGATGAATGAAGTGACTAAATCATAGAACAAGACTGTGTCCCCAGGACCCGCCCCTACCTGTGTCATTGGTGATCTCGTTTTCTGCACAAGGGGTGCAATCAAAACAGCAGGCAGCCTTTCCCTCCTGAGAGCTTTTTCTAAATCCAGGATTGTAACTGTCACTGCAGACTGAGTGGGGAGTGTAAGAAAGAATATGTAATGGTAACTTCTTAGATATTTATTAACTTCTTCAGAGCTAAAGAGAAAATCTATGTCATTGCCTGAAAAAGTTATTTCATAGTATGAAAGGTACATTTACAAAAACACAAGTGTTTTTCTTTACCGTTCATCAGAAAGCTAATATACAATTTTCTTTCAAAGTGAAATCTTATTCAGTTTCCACATGTGACCATTGCATTAGCAAACCTGGGGACATGAACCTTATGACAGTGTATTGCTTACTTGTGGTTAAGTGTGTCATGCTTAGGAACAACGTACTTCTGTGACTCCAATGGCCCAGTCTATGCTATTTTCAGAAAAAATCAATTTTTTCCCGTGGGGAGCATGTGAAGAAAATGTGCCCAGTTTAACTTTAAGTCTCAGGCCGTCTGGAAAATTCCAAAAATTGAGAATGTCATATTCAGAATCCAGTTTCCTTCTGTAATCCGAGTTTGCCTTGTCTCCAGTAGGATTGTTAAATTGGACACTCCTCAGAAAGGGATGCAACTAAAAGAGACACATCATGCCATGTAAACAGGTTTCCAGGATAAGAACAGAAAATATGGGTGGGGGAAAGTTCCTAAGTGTGTTCCATTCTTTTTTCTGAAAAACAGCTTTAACACATGTATCTGTTAAATTGCAATCTATAAATGTTTAATGACTCAAATGACACATTGGTCTACAAGTGTCAATCAGTTTCAGGAAAACAAAAGCATATTCTGTTTAAGCCGTTTACACAAGGTAGGTGTACAGCTGGGTTAGGTGAAAATATCAGCAGTGAGTTCAAAGCTTTTCAAACCCCCAACTTCCCTTTTACCATCTGACTGTTCCCATGGCATTCACCAATAAAGTAGTTCATAAACATCTGAAGTGTTTGCAGAATTAGATGAAATTGAATTTTATGCACTGTCAAGTTTAATGCCACTTAGTTTTGGAAGTGACTACATGTTTCTCAAGGGTCATTTAAGAAAATCATGGGACAAGTTAATGTGGGGAAGTGGTTGACCTCCAATAGGCAGAAGCAAGGAGCTGGCCTCCTGTTTTCTTCTCCTTGCCAGTGGATACTAGATTGAGGGTCATTTACAATCACCCCAACAATCTCTTCCTTAAAAGTAAGTGTAACACTCAAAGTCAGTATTTTCAAGAAATAGTTCTTATATTTAGGGTGAAGCACATAGAATAACTTAAGAGAGGCACCTTCATAACACTGCCTGCCATCCAAGGAAACACATTACCTGCCAGGGGTGAAAAGTCATCACTTGTGTATTTCTCAAAGGTTGCCTTTGTAATTCTTCAACAAGCATTGCATCGAAAGCATGGGCTACAGCATACACAGCACTGTATATATTATAACTGCGATCACTGATGTCTATGTCAAAACGATTTGGAGGCAACCGAGCCATAGAGTCATTAGTGGTACAGTTCTTCAAGGCACAGTCTGACTTAGAAAATGAGCAATCAAAATTCTTGTACCAGTACACAACAAGGTAAGTGTCTTCAGGGTATTTGAAAGGGGTAGCTTCCTGGACAAAAGTTTTGAAGCCTGCAATCTCTTCATGATGGTGTGAAAAAACAAGGAGCCCATGGAATGGATCCAGTATGAAATCTCTCCCAGACAGGTCAGCATGCCATTGGGAGATTGTCACCCAGATTTTCCATGTCACTAAGCTCTGAACGATGTTGCAATTTACCTCATCTGAAGTATAAGTGTCATAGTAAATGACCACCACATTGGCAGATGATGTATCTGTGGTCAGGGTTTCATGTTTTTTTTTTTTACTTCTGAGACAAAAGACACAGCTACAGTTGATACCATTTTCACAAAGGCCACACAGATTCCGTTCCTGTCCATCTCAGCTCTTACATCTGAGAGAAACTGAAGACCCTTCTGGCCTTCTGTGATGAGCAGGCCCACCCAGGTCCAGTGAAAGTGAAGCATCAAGGACACCATGGAAAGGGCCAGAAATGTGTCCTTTGGGGCCATCTGATGGAGAGAAGGACGCTGGCCAGTGTCCATCAGTGTAGGATCAAATGAGCCAAAAGTAACCTAAAAGGCAAGGAAATCTGGGTGATGCACTGAAAGCGCAATAGCAGCCCCAAGAGTGCTGAGAGACATCTCTACATTGTAGGAAATGCACATTCTTCCCTTCCCTCTACACATTTCCCTTAGGAGATTTTCACAAAGTGAATGAGTGTATTTAGACCCAGGAAACATACTTCTTTCCTCATTTCCTTCCTCTATGACAAGAAAAGAAAATAAATTGTGTGAAAGCCACTAAGCCTCTGTGTATAGACTCCAGTACACTACACACTTTCAAAGAGCCTCATCCTTGCCTCATTTTTAACTCTCTAGTTTCCAGCTAAGTGAGCCTCCATGATGTTCCATCAGTCCTGTCTGAACAACATTCACCTATGGAAATCTGTAGAGCTCCAGCAGTGGTCCAATCTGAGCTGAGGTCCTCCATGGCATTTCTGTCAGTACTACTGCACATTTGCTTTCTCTTCTACACGTGTAATTAGGGAATTCATGTTGTTCTGTGAGCAAAATGAAGGAATTCTCTAGTATCCTCCAATGACTGTAAATGAAATTGTGAAACTCATAGCCCAGAGTAATGTTGGGCAGAAGATGAGGATTCCTGTTGATCTCTTCTATGGCAAAAGCGAAGGCCAGATAGTTCCGGTAGTTGTTGGGTGTGAGCCTGCATAGAGAGCAGAGGTCCTTAGGGAAAGGCTCAGTCTTACCTTCCAGTCTAGTTTAATAGCTTTTATGTGTGAACGTTTATGTTCTTCCCACACACATGTATAATTAAAACTGAGTATGTATATGATGATTTTGGAATGCTGACTTTTAATAACATACTAGGAAGTATATGAGTGATGGGACTCAATTTCCCATGAAGAAACGTGGTGGCTTTCCAAGATTCTCAGCAGAGTTCCTTCATTACTGTATTTATTTTACAGTTAGCCTGACCTTACTGTATATGATTACAAGAATATTCTGTATGGCATCACACGGTATAGGTCTTTGCGATTGTGATATTTTTATATACCATCACTGTTTGCAAGTAGAAAAGATGTACTTATTGAGGTACACAGAATATTCAGTCTTCCTTGCATCTATTTCTGTTTAATTGCTTTTTTAGCAAAAAATATATATATTTATTTAATATTATTACTTAAGTACATCTCAAGCAACATTGGTCTCCATTCTCATTCATGACAGGAAAGACTGTGGTGTAGGATACATTAATCCTGTTAATTTAACTATATGGTAATACAAATATTTCGTAGCACATAACACCAAATTTATGAAAATAAATGTAATTTTATTTGATAACCAAACATAAAATCAAAAACCAAACTGAAATTTTTCAGATAAAAGCTTAGATTTCACTAAGAATACAGCAGAGGGGCTGAGGTGATAGCTCAGTGCTTTCAGCACCTGCCTGGCAAACGCAAGGTCCTGCGTTCAAACCCCAAGAAGAAAAACCAAAACCAAACAAAAATAAAGAACACAGCATGCACAGAGAAGATGGGTCAGGGGCAGGGATACAAGTTCGGCCTCCTTACTGGGATTCATGGCACAGGCAATTGCTCCACTTCTGAGATACTTCTGTAAAGAAAACTGACCTGAATTTTGAAAAATGCAATCTCCTTTGAATGGTTTGGAATGAAGCTTCTTAGAGAAGCTGTATATCAAGGCCATTTTCATTGAAAAAGTGGCCACAACAAGATTTCTTTGTTAACTTCAGAATTACGCAGCGTTGTTCTGGAGTTTCTACACTTTACAATAGTCATCAAGTTAGCAGAAAAAAAAATTGAAAAGCAGGCATTGTTTGCTCATTAGGCATAAGATTATTCCCCTATAAAAAGAAAATTCTTGTGCGAACAATCAAAAACTAAATAAAAAAGAGTGTTATAATTTGTGTCTAGTTGTTCCCCCAAAGCCTCATGTAAGTCATAGGGCAGATACAGCTCAAGGAGCAGCCAGTGATTTGAGGGGCGGGGCTAGGGGCCATGGTGGGGTCACAGGGTGGGGCCAGAGGGCCAGGGCTGAGTCAAGGGACAGAGTCAGATGGCCAGGGCGGGGTCAAGGGGCCGGGCCAGAGAGGCAAGAACCCATAAACTAGCAGCATGCACTCTGACTCTGAAGGCCTTTGGGGGTCAGAGTACGTGTGGAGCCCATCATGCTGGACATGGCAGCACCCCAGCCTCTCCTCCAGACCCTGTAGCGTGGGGCGGCGGTATCTGTGATTGAAGCCGCCTTGTGCAGAGTGGAGATGTTTGTTGAAGACAGAGACTGACCCTCCTTCCTGAGCAAATAAGTCCATATAATTCAGGCTGTTTTGAACTTTGAAACCTCCAGTAAATGTTAGCTAACTAAACCTTTCCTTCCCTCATTTTGAGAGTCATGTATTTGTCTCAGCAATGAGACAAGAGTAAATAAGACAGAGAATAATACAAAGATTTCCAATGTAATATTGATGACAGTTCTGAGAAAAATATGTATACTATAGTAAGACCCTCCACAAAACTTAGACATTTTTTATAATCCCTAAAATTCTAGGAAAGAGAGAAAAGGAAAAACGATGTATTTCATAAAGGTAATATTTTAAAATCTATCAAAGTTGCCATTACTGAAAAAAATAAAAGATATAATTTTTATATCAATTGGAAATATTACACTAGCGCTCTGAAATCTGTAAAAGCGGTGAGATTTTCAGAATTTAACAGAAGCATGTTATATACAGAAAAAACAACTAAAGGTATAGATGCATTAATGGGACAAATTATAGAAAAGTAGCATCTATTATCTGTCTGTCAATTATCTGTCTTTGATAAAATTTGAGTAGAAATTCACTGAATATTAAATTATTCATGTTGAAGAACAAACTCTTGTGAAAACTGAAATTAAGCGAGTGCATATGTTTATCACAAATATATTCCCTAGGTACTAAGTACTTATTAAAATAGAAGAGTAATGAGCAAAACAACTATATTCTTTTTTATGTATTTAGTACAGGGTCTAGATGGTCTCATTACACAGGTCAGACACAAAGTGATCCTCAGGTTTTCAGCCTCACAAGCACCGGAGTTATAGGCCCACACCACAACCCCCAATCTCAGTCTCTGTTTCAGCGCACCCCCGGGGGGTTGGGGGTGCAGCACAACATGCTGAGACTCAAACTCTCGTCCTTTCATCTGGCTAATTAAGAATTGTAAACCTCTGAGCTATCTGGCTGGCCCACAATATATTTTCAATATTATACAGATGTTAATATTATTCAATGCATTCCAAATAGGAAAAAGAAGCAGGCAAATGATGGGTTTTATTTTCCTACCCAAGAAGCTCACTATCTATTTCTGGGTATGTGCTATTTATATAAAATATGTATGAGGCCAGCAACAAAGCTCAGCAGACTAAAGCACCTGCTTAGACAAATTTAGTCACGCAGAAGGACCTGGGCTCGAACCACATGCTGTGACAGCACCACGTTCAGGGTGGGCTCAGCCACCTGTAGTCCCAGTTTAGCTGCCCAGGTCTGTAATTCCAGCAATGGGGAGGCTGAAAATAGGAGGATCACTATGACTCTGAGCTGTTTAGTGAGACCCTTTACAAACAAATACATTCTATATGTATGTGTTGTTATCAATATGCTTAATATGCAAATTTGACTCTGGTTCTTATTAGTAAGTTAATTTGAGTGACAATTCAGAACTATTTTCAATATTTGGTTTAGAGAATTCTGCTCCAAATTTAGATCCTGTGAGAGGATTAATTAAATGTCACTTATTAAAAATTATGAGAATGATTTTGTTTCAGGACATAAATCTCACTATATGCACTAACATGTCATTTGTATGAGGAGGGATATTCTGAATGGTGGATGGGGAGTGTGCATTTACAGCTCACCAGGAGTTTGGAGGGGAATCATGTGGGAGTCCAGCAAATCCCTTCAGAGAGGATCCTGAAGGAGACAGCCCAGTGTAATCAGAAGGAACCTGACTATAGTGGAGGATGAGAAACTGGCCACCTATCAGGCATTATAAGATTTCAAGAGTAATTCAAGGCTGTAAGATGTTTCTATTCCTAGGAGGAAAGAATGAAATATCTACTCTCCTACTGTCATCTTCTGTCCCCACATATGCCCAGAGGATCAGGCTGCTGGGGCAGGGGGACCTGCTCTAGGCCCATGCACTGAGCTCTGTCCATGCCTGAAAAAAGCACACTTGCCCAGGCTGATGCAGCCACCAGGAACAAGAGTTTTGGAACCCAGGAGAGAATTTGGATTCCTGATAAAATGAGAAAGAAAATTCATAGAACTTTTAGAAAAGAAAAATGTTTATACATAAGCAATTTATATATTTTGTATCATCCTCATAAGAAAAGTCTAATTTTAATAGTTTAAAGGATCATATTGCTCAGATATAAAATCGTAGCTGTCATGATATTTGTACTGTAGGATAACACCGCGGCTTTTCAGTACATAAATATAAATACAAAGTTGCATTACTCTCTTTTTGCTCTTTTCTCAACATATTTTACTTACATATTACTATATATTAATGACAATTATTATACCTAAGTAATTCATAGCTTTTCAACCTATTATAATTCATTTCTCACCAATGTTCCAAACTTTTTTTCTTAGATTTTATTTTTTTCCATAATTTTATTGACAAACAAATAGCAGTGAGTCAGTTTCAAATCAAATTGGTAGGACAGTTTCAATAACTTACACATTGCATGCTCTCTTCCTAGTGGTTATTTGTTGTACAAAATGTGGACATGATATCCTATTTACAAACACCATTAGAACAAATCACTCTATCCATTAAGAGAATGTAATTATCTATCTATCCTAATCATTTTGAATACACAGATACAAAATGGACATTTATCTGTATCCCCTTTTTTGTTTAGTTCTGTCATTTAAATATTATAGGTGTGTGAACTCAGCAAAATATTACAAAATAGTCCAGTAGTCCATAATAGTATTGAGTCTTCTGCTTGATGGGCAATGTCAGAAATTGCTGACCTGAGTACCCTACATCTCAACATAACAGCATGGCTTTACTTCTTATATTTTGTTTTTATACTTTTCTGCTGGATGGTTAAGATCAAGATAAAGCAAGACCTATGTACAAGAGTTGTAGCTTTTGGATCTGATAAGGTCAGTGAAATCCCCTCAGAATTTATCCTGAGACCCTGTACCTCAAAATTTCTAATTATTTCTTATTGTCATTTCAGGAGGGGAACAGATGTGTCATGCTTAGAGGAATGCTCTCAGCTTAAGGCTAACAGATGTTGAACAGTAGGGGTGGAGACATAGCTCAGCTGCACAAGCACCAGCCTGGCAAGCATGAGGTGCTGAGATCAAGTCAAAGAACA